TTGGATTTTAGAACATAATGAAAATTGGATAGTGAATTCATTCAGTCACTTGATTAACTCAAGTTTAGACCACATAATTTTTTCTAAAGAAATATAAATTGGTGTCTTATTCATTGATATTATAAAAGATAAGGGTTTATACTATAAATAATATTTATTGACATATCCAATTTTTGAGTATCTGTTTCAAATAAAACAAAACAAAAACGTAGTAAATTTTTAACCAACATGTTGACCCTTTTGCACTTAAAATTAAGCACTTACCAAAAATAGGACTAGAGGAACACTAAAAAAAATTTGATGTTGCCATGTGTAAACATTTGCTTTAATAACTCTACATGCAAAAAATAATTAAAATCCATGACATGCGATGTGCCACCCATTGCCTGGTTATTTGATTTAAAAGCTACAAAGCATGAAAATATTCAATGTAAACAGTAAAAAATTGAAAAAAGTCCTGGTGGTACTATTTGGTTTACTCTCAAATGAAATACGACAGATACAGCGCCAAGAAGAAATTGATAAAATAAAAGAGTGTACAATTTCTATTTTTTTTTACATTCTTAGCGAAAAGTTTTAAGTACAATCAGTAATGTCCAGTAATTAGGATAACTCATTTATTTCGACCTGAAGGGGAATATATATATACCGTACTTGAGCATGTTTCAGAATCTCCCCCTTTTGATTTTTCTGATGCGTGTAATTGATTCTGAAATGATTTGACAAATAAAAATAAAAGCAACATACCTAATATATTGGCCAAAAGCAAGAGAAACAAAATCTTTGCCATTCTGAATGTACGTATTTCAAGTTTCGAGTCCGTATATTGAGGGTCGAAGTTATCAATAATATTATCTTATCTTTGTCATTCTGCAAGATCACTCACTTTTATCACTGGAATAAACACAGCTCATTATACCTTTAAGACTGACATGTTATTTTCTCTATTTGAGGTTTGCCACATAGTGTTCATGCCCTATACGTTAGACTTTTTTCCCTGCACTTCATTCTTTCGAACTTACACAAAATTATCTAGTGATGTGGAATATGATTCATGATTGCATTTTACAGGTCAGCTTCCTCTGTTTCATTAACCGACTCAATAAAACCATTTTGATTAATTAATTGCTTTTTTGAGGTGGGGTGTTTAGTTGTACGACTTTTATATATAGAGACTAACACTCGTTTCCCATACCTCCAACTTAATTTTTTTTAAATAACTACAAGTAAGAAATTTGTAGAAACCAAGAACATACCCACTTCCGCCCCAACCCGGGCTTAAACTCTCGACCTACGGAATCTTCTCCTGTACTGCTAGGAGACAGATTTATAAATAAAAATTAATTCATTGCAATGTATCAGTAAAGATCCTTCAATAAAACTAATATCCAAATAACTGTATCTCACTTCCATTCTCAATGACCGTGTAGTGTAGGACAGCGCCGCGAGAATTCCATCGGCATCGAAAGCACGTTTATTGACTTGCCTAAATGGCCAAGCGGTCTAGCACGCTGTTCCTGTACTGCTAGGATACTAGGAGACAGTTTACGTAGGTCAAGAGTTCAGCCCCGGGTTGGGCCGAAAGTGGGTATCCTAATAAAAAGTGAATTTCTTTGTGCTTTCTATATTAATATTTCTTCACTTAGGGAAATTATGTTAATTAAGAGTTGTTGTAAAATGTGCTTTCTATATGTATGTATGTATATATATATATATATATATATATATATATATATATATATATATATATATATATATATATATATATATATATATATATATATATATATAATCCAGTGCAAGCACGGGGAATTGAATTTTTTTTCGCTGCTGACGAAACAATTTCAAGAATATATCTTATAGTTTATACTGGCAGTAAATAACAGGCTTATAGCAGGAAAAAAATGCTTTGTTCAAAATCCCATGGTTAGTCTAAAAGCAGTAGATATACGCCCAGCCCCTTCTTGTTTTTTTTTTAACTTGAAAAATATCAATTTCATTAATTTTCGTTTTCTCTTAACATGTATGTTAACATTATTTTAATATCTGTTGTACTACGTTATCAGTCGCCCGCGTGGCGCAGTGGTTAGAGTGTTTGTTCTAGAGTCGCAGACACAGGATGAAACTCTGCCATTCTGTTAACTGAAAGGTAACTGAAGGCCTATTGAAAGATGACTGAATGGCAGAGCTCTGCCATTCAGTGACCTTTCAAGACCTTTCAGTCACTATTCAGTTCACTGAATGGTGTAAGTTCACCCTGTGGGAATAAGGAGTTGATCCTTACGTCGCGGATTCGAATCCACTGCCCGACGTGGACACCAGTCCTTCGGATTGGACTCTGTAAACCGAGGTCCCGTGTCGCAGTAGGTGTTGGCACGAAAAAAATTCCTTACTGCTCAATGGCCCTGAGTGCCGAGCATAGGTAAAAATTAGTCCTCCACCGGCAAGTGGTGGCGTCTCAATATGAGTGAAAAATTCTTGAGAGGGACATTAAACAAAATACAAACAAACAAACAAAAACTATGTTATCACATATTATACTTTGGGTGCTCTGTTTTCATTTCCATCAAGTATAAAAAAAACGAATATGCAAATTTTATTAATTTGTCAGCTCAATTTTTGGTAAAAATTAGCTTTTCACCCCTTATGTATACAGGTCTAGTTTTTATTATGTAGAAAAATCTATTGAAATGTATTGATCAAAGCAACAGTTTTTAAAACGTGAAAACTTAAAATGCATCACTTTTACTTCATACTTTTACTTTGAACAATACCATATTCATTAATGGACATTTTCACTTTAGCAAGTTTATTACTTTTCGGGTTCATTGCCATTATGCTCTCACACAACTTACTAAAAGTCTTTCGATATATAAATATAATCACAACCTATAGTGTTATCAATTGCTTTACCATTATTTCAATGCCCATTCACATAAAGTGTGTGTGTTTTTAATATTCGATTTATTGATACCATCTTTTGTTCCAGAAATTTCCCTCAAGAAATAAAGATCGGGGATTAGCAAAAAGATTTGCACAATTTGTTTCAATCATCGTTACTTATTTCTTTTGTTTCATTTAAATCAAGTTTTGATAGAATAATTCGCAAATGACGTTTTATCAAATAATTAAACAATTGCTGTTGTGAATTTCAAGTTTCATAAAAAATTGTCTGTAACTTAGATCCACCAACCTTAGCCGACACCGTACTCTGTTTCTTATGCTATTTTACGTCTGCTTATCGAAAATGAAAGTAGACTTATAATTAATTTTCAATTTCCTCTGAAACATTAACTCTTTTTTTCTTAATATTTGGTTCCTAGCTTTATCTGATACAGTCACATATTCAGATTTCTCATCATTCGTTGTGTTTATGGTTATTTGTTTGTCTTTAAGAAGTTTTACCTTGGAAAAATTTTGTATACATGTGTTCCTTGTTTATCTTTCTCGTCTCAAGATCTTGTATGCACCCCATTAACTGTTAATGGGCACAAAAACTTCCCAAGTACCTACTACTCAGGAAGATAAATGTATTCCTTTGAAGCTCCTCTTATACAATAAAAAATATGAAAAAAAAAACCAAAACCATTTCAATTAGTGATTGTTCTATAAGCATTTGTAGACTGTAGTAAGCACTCCCCATATAAGACCCGAGAATAAGTTACGCCTATTAGTAAAAAGAAATATGTTCATAAGCAGAATTACAAACAATTATTTTTTTTTCATTAGTCCATATTTACAAAGTTTGTTGTACAATTTGTAGATTTTTAGGAACTATTGAAATCCTAAATAAATCTGGGTAAAGTGATCCTTAATTAAGTGTCGCTCTGCTCTGATTCAAGTATTCAAAATTTAAGGTAATGAAGTATTTCGACCCCCCCCCCCCAAATAAAAATCGAATCATGCTTATATGTTCTATAGATATTAAATTCTTGGTGAGACAAGCTTTTTGAAAAATTATTATTGGTGTCAGTTATAAAACGATGTCCTAGACATGTGTTTTTGTCGTTCCATCTTTTCTATCTCTTCCTGTATGAACAGGGGTCATGCTCCACTCAATTTAGTACAGCACTGAACAAATTAAATATGAAAAAATCAAATATTTTCAAGTATTTCTACCAAAAAATGAATAAATAAATCAATAAAAAATAAAACACACTTTTATTCATAGTAAAAAATAAATTTGGAACTTTATACACATTAGCATACAGAAATTGCAAAATAAACAGACACAACAGTATTTTAATTTTCGGCGAATTTGTTAATCAAAATAAATTGCTTAGAGTATGGATAAAATATAGAGGTAAAAGGTAGAAATGTAAATAAATTTATCATCAAAATGAAGGAGACAAATGAAATTTTTATCCAACGTTTCTGTGATTTCTGACAATGTTACTTCTCTTTAATTTATCTGTAGTAACGGTTGAATAAAGTATTGAACATTTTTCGTGTTTGGTTATTTTATAATAATATTGTTGACATTTAAGCAAGATTTAGCACAAATAAGGAAATTTTATAAGAATGTATACATGTATACATTCATCAAAAAAATTTTCCCGTTTATTCATCCATTTCGTTTAGTTTAACACAACTTATGATTGAATATATAATGAAAACATGTACTAATATGGTCAAAGAATATGCTGTTGTCATATGAAAACAAATGTAGTATAAATACTTACAGAGAAGAGGCAACTTTTATTTTTTCAAGTATTCTGTTACTTCCTTGTGACTAAAAGTAGATACTTAACTACTTATTTTTGTTTACTTGTTTGTTTTACGAGCCTTTCATAATTTTTATAATTCGCCAAGCATTAATCACCGGTTGCTAAGAAACTAGACATGAACTAATGCAGTTGCATTTTCAAAGGGCATGTAAAGCAACCCAGAATGATTCACAAAATTTATGTCAAATTTAAGCACTTGGAACAATTCCAATTTCTAAAGTATATTTTTTATCTATATAAATAATTCTCAACAAACTCAACTTTCAGACAACCAAGATGCATTTCTTTACTGTAAGTTCTCTGAATAAAATTTTACATGCATTATTATTTTGATTTTTTTTTTTTGAAATATTTTATCAGAATGTATCAGGACTTAGAGCGGCGTATACTATTCAGAACCATGTTGTATTCTATTATTTTAAACTTGTGTCCTAAAATTTTATTTTCTTCGTAATGTTTTGATAATAATAATTATTTAGAAAAGTACTTTATACTGTACAACGCCATTGAATACGTTTGTGTAAAAATAGGCGTTTAACCAAATAAATCAGTTTCAGTTTTTCAGTTTCTTTAAAATATAATCAACTATATTACCAGGTTTTCATCCTCATGTGTGTCTTATTTGTTGATGTTTCATGCATTGGTTGGCTAATGAAAGGAGACGATAGAGGATGTCCAAGACGAGGTTAGTGTCCAATTTAATAAGCATAATAAACTTTTATCAATTAGCACATTATATAGCATTTATCAAGACAGGCTTGTAAAATTCGAAGATTTTAAGAGATGTGAGTTCTTAAAGAACTGAAGATAAGTTCAATTCGCCTCCAGAAATTGCTGCTTGGAATTCCTTTCATGAACTGCCATAAGTCGTTGCGCAATTAGAATACCAGCATCATTACCATTTGATAAACCTTGCAATTGAAACTGTCCATCTGACACTGTCTGGAACTCTTCAGAATGGATCGCCTCAGGCTCGAGAGCTTAACACTAAACTGTTTAAGTTTTTGTATTTCGCTCTCTTACATGTATGAATTGAATAAGTCAAGAAATCTTCATCATTAAAGAAAAAAAAATACGAGCAGGGTTTTGGAGCACATTTTTTGAACAACCTAAAAAAAATCACTGAAGAGATTCACTTAGATTTATTCACCAAGAATAATTTCAAAGCTAGTAATCGCAAGCTGCACAACAAATCAACACGAACATGCCTCGAATGAATGTTAGATTTAAGATTATTTCAGCAAAGTGTACACTTTGTGTTCACACTAAAACGCATTTTTATTTCAAACAGCCGGAGCTCAACCGTTTTACTTTGGAACGACGCACCTCGAGTGCATCATAAGACATGGCAAAAAGGGGCGCAAACGTAGCGCACCTTGGAGAGGACCATGGACTCTGTGGCATCGTTACATTGAATACAGAGGATATTTTTATGATTTGAAAAGTAAGTGAAGCTGTATCATGCTCGACGTGTATTTAAAATAAAAACATATACATGTCTTTTTGAAGGAAACTAATTCGTGTTTAATATGTCAACCATAATTATTCTATTCTCTCTGTCAAACATCTGTTAAGTTAAATTTTCACAATTTCACAACTAAAATTAGTTGTACTGTATAGCAATCAAGCAATGATATACAGGCAAATTTTGTGACAACTACATAAATACAGAGGAAAGAAAAATAAAATAGAATTATTAGACGAACAAACTAACGACAACAATAACCCAAATCTTCCTATAAGTTTTCGGTTGGGAAAAATAACATAGAATTTTTTAAACATATTCATAGATTAATATGCTCACTTCGATAAATGTTAACTATAAATAAGACAAGTCTCGCACCAATTTTTTTTTAGTTGGGACTTAAAGTTACTTGGGAATGGACCTCCTCAAAAACTTTACCCTGTTCATTCATTCGAAAAATGTAGGTCAGATCCAGCATTCGAAGCAAGTCTTTTAGTGTTCATCAATAAATGCATCGTCCCTGCAAGTTTGGTTCAAGTAGGGCTTATTATAGTTACTTGGGAATGGACCTGCTCCTAAAACTTTAACAGGGATGCCAACGCCAACTCCGGGGTATAGAGTAAGCTCATTTCAACTTCGTCGAGGTTAGCTAAAAAATAAAGCAAGGCATGTTTAATTTTAAAATCGGATTTCTTTTTTTTTTTCAATTAGCCAACTCCAAAGTATCCATCGCTAGAAGTCGATTAAATGGACATGTGTGTCCTGGGGCTAGGGAAACTTACCCTGCTGGGTACAGCGAACTAAGTCCCGGGTGTCTTGAAGGTTGCGCCAAAAATTACAGATGTCGGTATGGTCGCTACGACTTCCTTTTTAACAACTGTCACAACTTCGCTAACCGGCTGTCTGAAGTTTTGTGTAGAAGAGGTACAACATGTCCTGGCTGGTGTATGGGAGGTTGTAACGATTTGGAATATAATTAACAATTGAATTAAACGAAGACAAGTTTAATTTATAAACTTTTTTGATTACTTGAGACATGTACATTAGCAATGCTGAAAATGAATTTGAGTTTACTTGACCGCTTCACACATATAATATTTTACCTATTCTATTTTATGTACATGTACATTTATTGTGGTTAAAATTGTGAAAAAGCAGAGTAAGAAACATAGATGACAAAATAAAATAAATTTTCTATTTCATCACTCATAAAGCTATGTATTTTCATTCCTTTTTTCTTTTCTTCAGAAATATTGTTACATTCATGAAGTTGTATCGTTGCAAATTCACTTGGCAGATTATGATTCCAATTCAAAACATTCCAAATAATTTTATCCCTTAATTTAATTTTTTAATGATTTATACCACTTAAGCTTACGAGAAGATGGCCACGTCAGTGGGGGAAGGATTACCTTTTTTTTATTTGAGGGGATGGGGTATCTAACTTACAAATTTGATAGATCATATATAAATTTTAGTTGATCGATTATTTGTTTGATTGATTGTATATTGTTTAAACGGCCCATTCGAGAATATTATTTTTGCTCATTGCTCATATAGATTTCATCTGTTTTGGTTGAAGTAGTACAAATTTTGACTTGGCATGGCACTTCTCACGAATCTGCACACAATTGTAACTCGATGGATAAAGCAAATATAAAATAACGCAATCTCAGTCTCAAAAAAGCAAACACCAGAGAGAAACAGTGTGTGTTTTGCAAAGAAGTTCAAAGTGCTTATGTTTTATGTTGAAATATGACAAAGTATCATTATCTTACACAGTCAACAAAACAATACAACGTTTTCAGGTCACCAAAGTCACTCAGGTGACCTATACCTATCTGTTTTTCCGTCGTCCCTCATCAGTTGTGCGTCGGTCGTAAACTTTTTCAGTTTCTTCTCTTGAACCGCTGAACAAATTTCAACCAATTTTGGCATATAACATCATTGGTTGAAGGAATACAAAAATCATGGTCCTCCCCCCCCCTCCCCCGGGGTCTGTGGGGAGAAATTAAAACAATCAAAATGAGTACAATCTTAAAATAAAATCTTTTTCTTTACTCCTGGACATCAAGCAGTCAAACTGTTGGTATAATTGTAATAAGCATATAGCCCTCTATCAAAACTGTGAAATTCATGGCCGCAGGGTCAGATGTTCTGGATGAAGGATAAGGTTATAATGATCGTTTAGTGAAATTGCTTAAATTATTTAAAAATCTTCTTCTCTCCCCTGTTAAGTTAGTAGATAAGCTAGGTGCATGGTTATGATGAGCAAGGGTGCTTTTTCTAAAATTGTGAAATTTGTGGCCCAAGCGTCAGGGGTTTTGTCGTTGTGGGGAGGGGGTCGGTTGATTATATAGTGAAAATACATCATTTTTTGGAAAATCATCTTCTCTGATCCTGCGTATTAAGAAAACAAGCTAAATGTATTGTTTTGATGAGCAAGGGTGCTTTTACAAAATTTTGAATTTCATGGCCCTTTGATCAGGGGTTCTGGTGTTAGGGCGGGGGTCTATTATATATTGATTTAAAAGTGAAAATGAATTGATTCTTGAAAATCTTCTCTGCTCCCGTGTATTAAGCAGATAAACTAAGTGCATGATTATAATGATCAACAGCGTCTCTTCCAAAATTGTGAAATTTGTTGCCCCAGAGTCAGGGGTTCTGGTGTTCGAGGGGGGGGGGGGCTCGGATGATTATATAGAGAAAATGCATCATTTCTTTGAAAATCTTCTTCTCTGCGTATTAAGCAAACAAACTAAAAGTAAAGTTATGATGAGCAATGATGCGTCTTTCAAAATTGTGAATTTCATGGCCCCTGGATCAGGGGTTTTGGTGTTAGGTGGGGCTCTATTTTTCTATTGATTTAAAGTGAAAATGAATTCATTCTTTGAAAATCTTCTCTTCTTCTGTGTATTTAGCAGATAAGCAGATAAATTAGGTCTAAGTTATGCTGAACAAGGGTGCTTCTTCCAAAATTATGAATCTTTTTGCCCCGGCGTCAGGGTTCATAGTGTTGGGGGGCTCTATGGATTATATATTAGTCAGAGTGCTTTATTTGTTTGAAAATCTTCTATGGCCCTGTGTATCAAGCAAACAAAGTAAGTGCATAGCTTTGATGAGCAGGAGTGCCTCTTCCAAAATTGTGAATTACATGACCCCTGGGTCTGGGGTTCTGTTTTAGCGCACATCTATACTGATTATACAATGCCATTTTTTTTTTGAAAATCTTCTTCTCTGATCTTACATAATAAGTAAATGTATGGTTATGATGAGCAAGGTTGCCTATTCCAAAATTGTGAATCTCATGGCCTCTGGGTCAGGGGTTTTGGTGTTAGGGCAGGACTCTTTAGATCAGATATTGAAAATGCATAAATTCTTTAAATATAATCTTCTGTGGCTGAGTATTTAGCAGACAAACTAATTGCATGGTTATAATGAGCAAGGGTGCCTCTTCCAAAATTGTGAATTTCTCGGCCTCTGGGTCTAGTACCTTTGGTGCTTAAGCGGGGCTCCATTTATTTGTAGCTACGGAGAGAAGATATATCCTTTGCTGTTCCCCTATGACAATTAATCGGTGTGAAAATGTAATTGAAAGGCCATTGAGAGAATTTTAAGGATATAATAATTATTATACAAAAAGTAATTTTCTAGGTTTTAATGGTCAGGTAGTGTTGTAATTATTCGATAAATAAAGAGACAAAAATTCCTTATCTTTGTACTAGACTAACTATTTTGTTCATCAATGATCCACCTATTTCTTTTGCTTTTCGTGCAACATAGCTTCATCTGTTACTTCATTTTGTTTTATTATACCCTCGCAAACGAATGGTGGAGGGGGGAAGGTTATATAAAAACCACCTAGTCCGTCTGTCAATGCAATCTTATCTGGGCTATGACTTTGTAATGGGGAATCATTGGAAGCTCATACTTGGTACAGATATTGTTTATGACCCCAGATATAAACTGACCTCGAAATAAGGTCATTTTGGCAAGTTCAAGGTCACTGAAAGAAAAAGTATAGAATTCTTGTCCAGGACTTAACTTTGTTATAAAGAATCATTGGAAGCTTATACTTAGTACAGTCATTCCAGCTAGTTCATGTCGCTGGCAGAAAAAGCATAAAATTCTTTTTAGACAAAAACTTAAGTATTTATGACAGTCTATAATTCTCTAATGGAGAACCATTGGATGTTCACAATTCACCTAAAGATTACTTATGAGTGGAAGGCGTGTCATTTCTAACCAAAGTCTTTTTGGCAAGTTCAGGGTCACATTTACAAAATTTGAATAGGCACTTTCTAAAAAGTGCAGCCGGAGTTATTATTTTGTGAGAATGATTATACAATATATATACATTATCCTTGAACCAAGCACTTAATCCCCTTCTAACAATGTAGGTATAGCAGTTGCGGTTGTGTGAGATCCCTTTGACAAGTCTTCTTTTACAATGCTTTCATGCGTGATACTATAAGCATTTAATTTCCTGGTCTTCCGCCATACACAGAAATGCATGAGTAGGCCCACCAAAAAACATTCCTTGGTCCGTATTCTTTATAAATTACAACTTACAGTCACTTAGTTTTCAAATTTTCTATTTACAAATAACTTTTGGTATGTCAACTTGAACAAGGCATCGTCATCAAATTATGCTGACACAGATCGACTCTCACGGATTTTATTTTAAATGGAGAAGCGACATAAAAGTATTTACAAAAATTGCACAAAAATTAAGAAACCAGAATTATTTTTTGGAGGAAATTCTTTTAATTCCCTTTCCATTATCTTGAATGAAGTAACCACGATTTGATATCTTAAAAGGAAGAACTGCCCAAAAAGGATTTACTCTTATTATTAGACCTCATGCTATTTGTGCTTTCTAGATTTTCAGAAAATGAAATTTTCATAGTTTTTGTAGATTGAAAGCACGGCTTATTTTGTACATTTAGATATGTAAAGATCTGTATTCTTATTTGCATATGCCTCAAGACCTTTCATCAATCTAGTTTGCTGCTAATAGTCACTAGAATCTCCCCTAGTACCTTTTTAATAATTTCCTTTGAAACACATGATAAACAATTAAAAAAAATATGAAAAAAAAATCTAAGTCAGTATAAGGAGTTTGTGTTATTTAGTACTAAATACTTCACATCAACAATGCAAAGATCTAAGACCCAAGAGAAATTAATTCACGCCTACTTTCAGCAAACAAGATGCATAAGTATGTCATTATGAAAAAAAATGTCACTAGGTCAATGGGCAGAATTCTTTTGTTTGGAAATGTCCATATTCACTAAGTCGTGCTCCAGATTTGTACAGGATGTTTCATAATACGCGTATCTGTCCCCATTACAAACTGGCATAGAAATGCAACAGTATTTTATATAATAGCTTTTAATGAATTAAAAACTAATAATAATAATAAATAAATTCAAATTTTTTCAGGTATATATATCGTAATTTTATTTCACAATGCTATTGTTTAAGCATGCTTCAAAGAAAAAAGTTTGTTCTTTCATAATACGTTGTAAATGACGTTCTCTTTGTTATGTAAAGAGTTCAACGCGATGTCTAAAGTTCAGACCTTTCCTTTCTAGCTGTGTTCTCAGATTAAGTTTTACAAGACACCAAATCAATGATTACTTTCTCTGATTTTGATATTTTTTGCATCATCCTGATAACAGTTAGTTGGTGAACAACATTCAAAGTACAGTTGCATTACTTCAACACTTTTTTTTCAGACAGAAATATCGAAATTGCAGTGTTTTTATGACGTCATTCATAATATCAAAAGGTTGAAAAACTGCCTTTTTCGTAAAACATATTTTGTATGTGTACATCAATTTCCTGTCCACAATTATTAAAGGGAATGTTAATTTATCCCTATTTATTTAATCATATTGTCTATGTCATCTATTAATCCATCATATGGAATGTCCAAGCTAAATTAATATTTTTATTTACATTTTGATGAATTTCTTTAGGTTTCCTCTGAGTTTGTCCGTCCGTCCGTCTGTCTGTCTGTCTGTATGTATGTATGTCCGTCTGTCTGTCTGTCCCACATGGTTTTCCGCACTTTTTTTCTAAACGCTTGCAGATGTTGAGCTGATTTTTGGTATGTGAGTGAATCTTGATGAGTTACAGATCAAGTTTGCATTTCGTTCATCTTCAGTGATTTTTGACAAAATTACGGCCTTTTCAATTTTTCAGGGT